TAAAACTGTATGTTCTACCCTATTCTACTATGTTTGACCAGGTTCAATAGTGAACCTTACAATATGTTATGGAACATAATAAATAGAGAGAAAACACAATATATAAGTACAATAGACGATAAGTAGTACAAACTAAATTACAACTCATCTAGTGTTTCCAGAGTAGAGGCATTTACTATTTTCACATTAGGCAACAACTGATGTTTATAAGTTCTTAAGGTATGTCGTTTCTGTTTGCACCCCGAACACGTCAATTGCCATTTCTTCCTATGCTCACCCACAGATGGAAATCTTTTCATCGTAGGCCTTTCTCTCTTCCTAGAAATTATAGGTGGATGAATTTCCAATTGGACTTAATCATTGGCTTCACATTCTTCTTCTCTTGTGACAGGATAAATGGTTTCGGCATATGCGACATACATATGGTCTCATTACGATCACATAGGTCAAACCGTGACATTTGTAATGAGACTTTCAACGAATGAGTACCCTTTTTATAACCAGTTTCCTCACACAAACATTCCAAAAATGAATCAAAGTCCGTATTGGATGCATCCCAACCGAAAGCAACAATTTTTTATCTCCTTCAAACGTGTAGTCTCCATTCTCATGTTTTTTCCATTGCCCATCATAAACAACGTATATCAACTGCGTCGAACATGTAGCCATCTGTGAATGTAAAGAATATTAAATTATTAAACATAGTCAAACTAATTGTCAAACTTGACAAAAATGTTAGAACGCAGTCAAACCTGGTCAAACTTATTAGTTAACCATGGTCGAACCTATCAAACATGGCCAACTAAGAAGCCGTCAAACCTATGAAAAACCTACTAGAATGTTAAAACATGGTCAAACATGATCAAACCCAGCCAACCATGGTAGAACCTATCAAATATGCCCATCTAAGGTGCACAAAGTACAGTCTTCATAGATTATTTTCAAAAAAACCAGGTTAAGAGTTATCCATTATTGTCAACAAAGCTTTTTATACTAAGTAGATTTCTTGAAATAAATAGTTAAAGATACTTTAACTTACTTGGAAGGGAGAATGAAGACAATGGAGATGCTAAAGAAGAAGATGTTGATGATTGGTGAGTTACGTTGAACTCAAAGAGGAAGGTTTGAACGTGTTCAACCGAAGTTCCAAGCATAGCTTGTTTGAACGCTTCAAGGAAGAGGATGTACACTAGGAGGAGGGCATCCATCGGAAGAGAAGAAAAGGTTTGATTTGTGAAGGGTACCCCTAATAATAATAAACCTTATGAGGGTACTTTGATAAAAAAAATCTCTTTTAGGGGCATTTTAAAAATTTGTCCTCAAACATTCGCCAAACGTTTAACAAGGAAAAAATTGCTTGGATAACTAAAATATCAAGTTTTTTCCACTTTTAGTCCTCCGACTATTATGTCATTGACATTTTTGGTACTTGACTTTGATTTTTTCCATTTTTAGTCCTTGGCTATTGTGCTAGAGACACTTTTGGTACCCGTCTTTGAAAATTTCCATATTTAGTCCTTTGACTTTCATAAAAGTGTCACTTTTGGTCCTTCAACCATTATAATAGTGACTTTTTTAGTTCTCCACTTATTATGCCAAAATCATAATGAGAGGACTGAAAGTGTCAATTTGACAATACTCAGGGACTAAATGTGGGAAATCTGGAAGTCGGGGACTAGAAGTGTTTCTTGCACAATGGTCAAGGACTAAAAATGGAACAATTAGAAGTCGAGTACCAAAAGTGTCATTGACATAATAGTCGAGGGACCAAAAATGGCAAAAACTCCTAAAATATCCCTATAATAATCCTCGTATAAAGTAATCTAAGATGATTTTTTAAAAACAAACATGGATGAAAATAAAAGCTAGTGGGTGTGGAAACATTCTCACCAAATGGAGGTAAAACTACAATGTAAACATGAATATTAAATTTGATGATAAATTTAGAAAAAAGAACGGTGGGTGTTCTAAAATAAAAAACTCGGTTACAGATCTTATACGTGATAATTGGAAGGGGGTGATAGTTGATCGCTTGCTATTTGAACGTGAGGTCTGGTTCAATATTTTTAATTCATGTTTTAGTAAATGTAAATAAATTACATACGAGTGTCAATAATATATGAAGAGAAACCATCATGTCAGGCCGGCCTGACCGGGAGAGCCGTCCGGCCGAGCTCTTTTGGCAACCTTACCGGTGGAGTTTTTTGATGAAATTTTTTGAGCATGTTCCTCATCAAGTCTAGTTTTTCCATACCAAATTTCAGCTCACAATTCGATCGGGAAGGTATTCAAATCTTTTTTTGAAGTTGACTGCATTTTATATGTATATTTTGACGCAGTCAACTTCAAAAAAAGATTTGAATGCCTTCCCGATCGAATTTTGAGCTGAAATTTGATATGGACAAACTAGACTTGATGAGGAACATGCTTAAAACATTTCATCAAAAAATTACACCGGAAAGATTGCCAAAAGGGCTCGGCCGGACGGCTCTCCCGGTCAGGCCGGCCTGACATGATGATTTCTCATTAATTATGTATACTCTATATGCATATGAAAAAGGTTTTACTTTACCATTAATATTACTTTTTATTTTATTAAAAAAAAAATTAGTGTCACATTCTACCCCCATTAAAAATATGCTTCGTCCCCGAAGCACTTAACTTACTCAAAGATAGTACTGCCTCGATTTGCTCTCTTCTATGGCGCCCTTCTTCAGTCTCGTACTCGATGCGGTTAAAAGCTTTGGTGTAGGCCTCGTTCAGAGTTTGGCATCCCAAAATGCACATAGCCTTAGTCCCGAAATCCAGGCTGTTTTGAAATTTCTAGATTAACTAATTTTGTCGGCAACTAGCGCGGGTGCAGAACATGCAAGCTCCAAGAATTGTGCATAGTACTCAAAGATGGTCATATTCACTTGCTTCAGGCATAAGAATTCTTTTTACGTCATCATAGCATTCACGTGCACTGAGTAAAATCTAACTCATATTGCCTTCTTAAACATCTTCCACGAGTAAAATCTAACCCGTATTGTCTTCTTAAACTCCCCTTTTGTTATAATTTCACACAAAAAGAATACATTTCTTTGTGTATACAAACTCTACTTCATTATACTATTATATCAGTGTTTTAAGTATTATATTATATTTGGGGGACGACAAAGCTCATCATTCATCATACTCAGTATATACTTTCTCAATGTGTCTATGATCATGTCATATTCTCTCTTACTCGTGGGACAATGTCATTTGCAATATTAACTCGCTATGCTTTTCATTCCTTTCAATAAGAATTAAGAACGCATCAACTGACATGTTCTATGGAAGCAGACATCTTCATACGAATCACTAATCGCTCATTCATACCAACAATGAATATGTGTTGTGTTCGTTTTTTAATTATTCAAAAGTTACGCACGGTTTTATATTGAATAAGATTTCATGTCAATCATAGTAGAGTTGTACTAGCTAATTCAGTGTTTTGTTATTTGAAATCGTTTAATATTTTTTCGTTGTTAATTATTACGTTTTGCATTCGAAACTCTAATAATATAGCCGTTGTGATGGCATGTGGAAGTGTGGAACCTTAGTTAATTAAGTTTGAATTATCTTACTCTAATAAATACATTATTTCATAAGTAATGAATACATTTTTTAACAATCACATTTTGAATTTTAAAAAACAAAAAATGACATGGATCATTGACCGAGACCAGTAGACCGAAACCAGCTCAAAACTAGAACCTGTGGACATCGGTCTTCGTTCCTACTATTCCCCACCCCGGAACGGCCGGTCCGAAAGCAAAATAAGTCTGGAATCGGGCCAAGTTCATGCACATATAAAATCTATGAGCATCAACTCATTTACTTTTTAAAAAATTTGTCAAAGCCCGTGTTATAATCACTGTTCTAAAAATTGACCTAATCGGACCGATTATTCGGTCTAGTCGGCCTAGTCGGCCGTCTAGCTAGGCGTTAAGCACTCTGAACCGCCCGACTAGCGCCTAACGAATTTTTGAACAATGGTTATAATTAGTCATGCATAAAATACATTGAAATAACAAATTTATTAACAAATTAAATATGCAAGTTAAGCTGTCAAGGTATCTAAATTACACTCCATGAAAAAATACTACGAGCCCGTTTGGTAACACTGAAATTGGTTGCTTCTGCTGAAATCTATGAAGTTCTGACTGAAGTGGCTGTATTGGTTGATTATGCTGATTTATGAAAAAATTATATTTAAAATATTTGTTATTAATAAATGCAATAAAAAATTATATGAAAAAGTAACTAAAATGATACTCTACAATAACTTCAGTCAATATAACCAGAAAAGTAACTACAACCTTATTTTTTCTTATTATAACACAATTCAGTGCGAAAAATCAAAAGCTACGTGTTTGATGAAACTGGCTAATAAGTGTGATAAGCCGAAAAGGGGCTACCAAACGAGCTCTGCATTTTTATTTTATTCCAATTAAATTTACTCTTTATGAGTGTTATTATACAAGTAATTACGGAGTATAGTAAATAAATTTCTTGTAATATACTCCGTATTACATAATACATATCACAAGAGCTTCACACATGAAATCATATCATCTGGATATGAATCATCCAAACTTTTGTGTAGTAAGTAGACGAGAGTAACATATCTGCTTTTGCAGAGATCACAAAACAATATTCATATACCACCCGTAGTACATTCTAGCTGCTGCAGAATTTTAGTCATCAACTCATCATCCTTGAGACCTTGACTACTTAAAGTCTTCAAAGTAATTTACTGGCAAGAGTCATAAAACAATTTGATAAGCTCACCGGCTCACCCCCAATGTCAATGAAAGCTTTGAAAAACAGAGCAAGAGAGCTATGCTGAAAAATCAATCTCTCCATTTGGTTACAAAATCTTCTTTCATTATTTGGTAAAGATATTAAATGTTGACTACTTTAATATAAGTGCTCCTTAGATATTACCACGAACTAAAGATGGTTAAACCATAGCCCTTCGAATCCTCCATATCAATATATCATCACAAAAACCTTAACACCAATGGCGCACAAGTTCGGGTTTGTTAGAAGGCATTTGAAGACTAATCTAAAATTTCTATTGTAAATTTGAGCATTCCTGGAGAAAAGAAGCTAAATCTTCCCACATAACAGACAAAATTTTGGCAGGAACTTCAGAGAACACAGGACAATAAGGTAGGTGGTCACTTTTCATCACTGCAAGATGTGAGATACAATTCCATCCAAATGTAGTTACTGCTAGATTTTGAACAACTGACTACAAAAAGGAACTGTACAGAGACTATATCTCATCTCCTAAATACACCCAAAAAAAGATGATGAAGGGCTTATTCTAAATTCACCCAAATGGTCAACATCGAGTCCAACAACTATCTGAAGCATTTTTTTAGTCAAGGCTCATCATCCAGCCTCGTAGGTTCCACTTCAGTTGAACCCTCACCCCCGGTGACAGCAGCATTAGTAGAACCTTGTTGGTTGGGTTCTTCAGTTCCAGCTTCTGGAACCCCAACCACCGGTGGCAGCAGCATTAGTAGGCTCTTGTTGTTTGGGTTTTTCTTCAGTTCCAGCTTCTGGAGTGGCACCCCAACCACCGGTGGCAGCAGCATTAGTAGGCTCTTGTTGTTTTGGTTTTTCTTCAGTTCCAGCTTCTGGAGTGGCACCCCAACTACCGGTGGCAGCAGCATTAGTAGGCTCCTGTTGTTTGGGTTCTTCAGTTACAGCTTCTGGAGTGGCACCCCAACCACCGGTGGCAGCAGCATTAGTAGGCTCTTGTTGTTTGGGTTCTTCAGTTCCAGCTTCTGGAGTGGCACCCCCACCACTATTTTCTTGTTGTTTCCAACCGGGGTGACGAGGCAGGGGCGGGAGCCGTTTTACATAGAAATACTTCTGGTTGAATGTTTCAGCTTTATCCGGGAACTTGGTCTTCACCATGTTTTCCAGACATTTACGGTAGGAAAAATCTTGTTTGGCACCATCAGTTGACACCACGTAGAAGCATCTAGTGTCCTGGAAATTACTGTGCTTGCTAATCTGTAATTCACGTAATTAAATAAGAAATTGTTGTTGCCACATTAAGAAAGTACTGTATAGGCATAAGAACTCTACACAGAAGCAAAATAAATTGTAAACAAAACTAAGAAAATTGCCCAGTCTAGAAACACTAGTATAAGTACTAAAAACATAATCTGTAATAAATTCAAATGCAGTGCAGCAGAGCTTACCATAAGGTAATCAACTCCAGCTCCAATTTTTGAGGCTTTATCCGGATGATAACTGACAACATTCTCAACAATATACGCCTTGTCATCAGGAGTTAGAGGATCACCATCATTCAACCTTTGATCCCAAGAAGAAGAAAGACAAGTGAAACAAGTTAGAACACGATGCACGCTTCAATTTCCAATTATATAAGGAAACTTGGAACATAGTATCAAGTTTTGCAAGAAGCAAACAAAATTTTATAGAACTCCAAAATCAAATGGGAACATCATTCTTCAAGCAATCATAAATGAGAAACAACTTATCAGATTAGATTTAAATGAGCATCCACCATAATTAGTAAATGCGATTACCCTGATTGATGCATTATCCTTCTGATGTTTTGCATAATAGGCTCAACCTCAAGGAGAATCTCTTGCTCCTCAGCTGTGAATTTATCCAACCTCTGCCTTGTAAAGGTGAAAGCCACACCAGCACCAGAATCATCAGCTGGCCTTGGTGGGCGGTTTCTCTTATTCTTCCAATCCCCTCCTCCAGCACCTGCAGAAGCCCCCCAACTTCGCGGACTTTCATTGTTGTCTTCTCTATTCCTCTTCCGTGGGACCCATTGAGATTGTCCGTTGCCCCCCTCGTCATTGTTAGCAACCTTAGGAGAGCCCCAACCAGCACCTGATTCATTCCTGCTTTCCTCTGCTCCACCAGAGGATCCTACACTCTTGTGTGCGCCCCATTGAGATTGTCCATTAACCTCATCATTGTTACCAACCTTTGGAGAGCCCCAACCACTACCAGACGATTCACTCCCACCACCAACTTTGGAAGAACCCCAACCACCATCGGATACTCCAGTAGCTTCTTTCGATTTTTCAGTGTCTGAAACTGCAGAGCCCCAACCTCCCGGGTTTTCATTTGTACTCTTCCGTGGCGTACCCCACTGAGATTGGGAAATGTTTTTATTAGTGCCAACCTTAGAACCCCAACCACCACCAGCTGAGTCATTACTCCCTTCAATGATTGGAGTCTCTCTTTTCTGTGAGGCCCAATCAGAACCACTGCCGCCCTTAGAGGAACCCCAACTACCACCAGCTGAGTCATTGACATGAGATTCTATTTTCTGTGAAGGCCAATCAGAACCACTTCCACCCTTAGACGAACCCCAACCACTACTGGCCAAGTCATTATTCCTTTCATTGACTGGGGACTCTCTTTTTTGTGAGGTCCAGGCAGTAGCAGCAGCACCACCCTTGGAAGAACCCCAACCACCATCGGCTGAGTCATTGACCAGAGACTCTTTTTTCTGTGAGGTCCAATCAGCACCACCACCACTCTTGGAAGAACACCAACCACCACCTGCTGAGTCATTGACTTGAGACCCTCTTTTCTGAGGGGCCCAATCAGGACCACCACCACCCTTGGAGGAACCCCAACCACCACTGGATGAGTCATTATTGACCACAGACCCTCTTTTCTGTGAGCCCCAATCAGCAACAGCACCCTTAGAGGAACCCCAACCACCACTGGGTGAATCATTACTTCTTTCACTGACAAGAGACTCTCTTTCCTGTGATGCCCAATCAGCAGCAGCAGCACCACCCTTGGAAGAACCCCAGCCACCACTTGAGTCATTGATTGCAGACTCTCTTTTCTTTGAGGCCCAATCAGAACAACCACTACTCTTATTAGAGGACACCCACCCTCCAACCGCTTCATTCTTCTGTTCAATTGAGTTGCCTTTTCTGCCCCAGCTACCTTCTTCTGTAGACTTGGAACTGGTATTACCCCAGCTACCTTGTGTTGTTTCTGCTTGAGTCGGTGATTCATTGGTTCCTTTTTGCCATGTGTTCCATTCCCCTCCTTGCTTCTTTCCACCGCTATCTTCTTTGGCACTTTTCCCCCAAGCAGAGGGATCAGATTCAACATCATTTGCCCCCCAGGAGGATCCAGTCTGAACGAGACCTTTATTAGATTCTGGTTTATTACTCCAACCACCACTGGAGGTTGACGGTGCTCCATCGGTAGTTCGGTTCCAGTTTCCAGAACTTGGCTTCGGTTTGACATCATCTTTGACAGTATTGCCCCATGTAGCAGCCAGTTTATCAGACTGGTTTTGACTACCCCAAGGTTGATCAAGTCCTTTACTAGATTTTCCCCAAGAGGATTTTGATGCTTCAGATTCTGGAATCTTAGAAGCCTTGCCCCAGGATCCATTGGTATCAGGTTGGGTAACAGAACCATCACCACCTTCCACTTTTTTACCCCAAACAGAAGATTCACCTTCGGCTTTTTTAGCAACACCCCAAGAGTCTGATTGATCTGTGGCAGCCTTTGAGCTTTTCTCAACAGGGTCCCACCCACCACTGCCACCATCTGTTTTATCCCAACCAGGGGATCCACCTTGGACACTATTTTTCCTGGTTTCTTCGACCTTTTTACCACCCCAGGAGGACCAAGAATCGGATTGATCTGCAGCTGCCATTGAGCTTTTCTCTACAGTGTCCCATCCACCACCACCAGCTCTAGATGTGTCAGTAGAAGCCTTCTCCCAACCACCACCGCTGCCACCTTCTTGTTGACCCGCATTCTCATTGATCAGATCCTCGAATCCATCTTCAAATGTAGGATTCACCGACTCTGAATCTCTTTCTGGAGATAAGTACAAGTCTAAATCTAAATCTTCCGGTGGCAGATCCTCAATATCTGCACCTAGACAGTCCGTAACCTTTTCTGTGCGATCATTACTGTTTCTCATCAGAAGAAGAAAATCATAGACATTTTGACCTACTCTTTGGTTTAACTCAACCTAGCAAAAGAAAAAAACTACTCAGTACTAATTGAATGCCAAAAACTTATAATAAAAATTGAAATTATCAAGTCAAAACAATATAAGATATCAGGAGTAGCACTTACCTTCCTAGTATCAAGAAGAATATCAAAAGAAGACCCAGTGCCAACAGCTACAGGTTTACCCCATGAACAAGATGCCACAACACTAGATAATGAATCAACATGGCACTTTTCAGCAGCCTTCTCAAAACATTTTCTAGGTGTCTGAAAGAAATTTCAAGACATAAGGTCAATTAGGTTGAACAGAACATATGATAAGTGATTCCTGAGAAATTCATATCAGTTAGATAAACATTCTTACAAACAATGTGGCTTCGGCAAAGGGTATTTGAACATTCAATGCACGAGACAAAGCCTTTATCCCACCAGCATTAAAGCCAACCAGATTTCCAGAACATGTCATACTATTTGCCAATAGAAGTAGATGGTCTTTGAGAACTCCTTTTGTAACCATTGTGACTGATGTCGAGAGTCGCTGCAAACAGAAGTCTATTTTGTTAGGGAACATTTTTGTTAAAAAAAAAGTCATGCAATTGCTAAACCACTGTAGAGGAATCCAAAACAAGTATAGATAGTACTTATTTCTCAATAGAAAATTATTCTTGAAGAGCAGTCTTAAAGGACAAATTTCATTTTGATTAATGGTTGCCTATAAGCAAGAGGAAGAAATGACCATTAGAAATTCAGTAATTGGATATTGTGGCATCCCTATAGATTCCTTAAAGGTAAAACCAGGAGCCTCTGCACAGAAAGACCTTTTCGTGGACCGCTTGAGAATAGGCTTATTTTGAATTTCAACAAGAGTCCACAAGAATATCAATGGGTAACAAGACATTGAAACTGATTTTAATTAATCAATAATCCATGGGTAAGACCGTAAGAGATAGCAAAAGAAGATAACATTGAAGGAGGCATAAGAAATTCATCAATAAAAAACTTTACCATCCTCCCAAACAAAAAGATTGGTACGGAACTTTTTTTAAACTACTCCCTCCGTCCCCTTTTAAATGTCCCGGAAGAAGGTGGCACGAGTTTTAAGAAAAGTGGGTTTGTGTGGTTGATATTAATTGGTAAAGTAAGAATAAAGTAAGTACTACCTCCGTCCCCCTAAGTTTAGGACAAGAGAAGGTGGCACGGTTATTAATAAAAGTGGGTTTATGTGGTTGGTATTGAATTGATAAAGTAAGAATAAAAAGTAGGAATGATTTAGAACCACACAAACTTTAACAAATTAGGTATGGGACAATCTTAGTGGGACGAACCGAAATGGTAAAATGGGACAATCATAGCGGGACGGAGGGAGTATGATTTTGAGCCACACAAACTTTACCAAATAAGGTATGGGACAATTAAATAGGGACATCCCAATATGGTAAAACGGGACATTTAAAAGGAGACAGAGGGAGTAGTAGGCAAACCACAAAAATCAATGGGGTAGGGGCTTGAGAACACCTACCAAATTTTATTTAAAAAGGACGAACAGTACAAAACGGGAGGGCACATAAACCTTACTCCCAAAAAACAGAATACATCCATTATGAGCTAGAGAATTAAGGAATCTACCGACTATCCAAATCTAAAATTCCTAAAATCAGATCCGGGAGATTCTTAACATTATAGACAACTATAGAATTACTATCAAATTCATGCATACTAGCTATAAGGCAGGCTGCCCAATTAGATTGGTACGGAATATATATGTCAGGAAGGAATTTTGAAATCATGGCTAAATGCTTAAAAATTAAAGACTACTTTAATATTGGTTTAGTTAAGGCCACTTAAATTGCCACAGTAACACATTCCGCAGTGAACAAAAAAGACATGCAAAATTAACACCTACCCTCAGCAAGCCAGATATGGTTGCTATATAAAAGAGAATAAATTGATCACTGCGTAATACCTGAACAGCTTGCTCAAAGGCACAAGAAATCCCAAGCAATTCTTGCACTTGTTTGATAGCATATGGTATAGAACGTCTTGTGTCGATAAGATGAATATAAGGGATGCATGAGTCCATGACAATCCTCCAAGTATCTCCACTTTGTTTGACAGCTTCCTTCTCAAGAATAACTTCTAGAGCTAATTCACCTGGTTGATTCTTGCTAGAGCCCCTAATCCAAGTCATTGTCTCAGCACTACTCCAGATTATATTAGCAGAAGAGACCCTATGATCACCTATGAATTACAAGTTCACTATGTCATTTGATTCTGCTTTCCAGCAGTGCCAAAAAGAGCCTTTTCCATCTAAAACAAAATTGCAGTGGGTGGAACATCTAAAAGATATCCAAGTAACATAACTAACATCCTTAAAGGAAAAGCGTATCCAGAGATATGTAATCAAAAAACCAAATAAATCCACTCACATTTGAGGAATCAAAAAAAATTAGTGTCATGTGACAAGTGCATGTATCTTCAAATACAATGAACACAGCAGCAACTAAATATAATAAAGAAAAAATGCAAAGTGTATACCTTTTACAACAGTTTCCAGCAGAACAGGGCAAATTGTGTCTGCAAAAATGTGAGCAAATTTCTCTAATTGATCATAAGCTGGATCCAGCGGCCAAGAGAACTGCACACATGGCATCTCCCCTGATTTACTTTTGCCTTCACCAAAAGAACAACATGCACTGGGAAGGAGCAGAATTTCAAAAGTTTGTAAATGTACCTCTAAAGCATTTTACTCTGCTAAGGAAAAAATATAAGAGTACTAAGATGAAACATGTATAAAGACATCAAGGGCTTAATAGTTTATTGATATTGAACACAACTAATCAGTCAATACCAAAACCAGTACCTAGTAATAGCATCACAAAATTAGACTGAAAATCAATCTAATTGAGGTTGGCTCATAGTTATTAAGGACGTGAGGCTTAAGTCGAACACCAAGCATGTTTAACTAACCCTAGAAGAGAAGTTTCAAATTCAAAAAATACTAAAATAGTAATAGATGTGTGCACATAGGCGGTGAGTCGCGCCAAAGCGCGCACCTTTGTAACATCAAATATTCAAAATGCCTCATTCTCAAATAGGTATTATGTTTTGCGCGGCATGCCTCAGGTCTGCCTTTCACAACTATGGGTTAGGTATCTGATATCTCCAAACAATCTAAGAAAACCAATAGGAAACATCAAGAGTGACATTGGAATGAGGAGAAACTTCAGAACTTTAACAGTCTAATATGTCATTCACACTTTCATAGCTATGATAACTTCTTTTAAGTAACCCATTTTTGTTTGAACTTATTTATGTTTGCCAAAAAGATTACTTAAGTATGCTGAAGTCCGAACAGCATGATTTGGAGGGTTTTAGTACTGGTTTCGTACTAAGAACTAACAGCACATCATAGATACAAATAGAACTGTTCAACCTCTGTCCCGCTTAAAGGTTCCCATGGTAAAATGGAACGGTTATTTAGCCAATATTAAATAAGGTAATTTGCGTATATTTTGAGAAAGAAATAATTACATAAATATGACTAAAATAAAAATTGTTTACAAAAATATGACTAGTGACTAGAGTAGTAATGAAATCATAGTAACTTATGTTCAATTTTTAAACTTAAGTTACCATGATAGTACATTGTAGTAACTATTAGTGATATTTGTGTACATACGTGTTATTTTAGTAATATTTTTGTAAAAACCCCTTTGAGAAATCGTTGTGATGGGTATATTATATAATGGGTTCAATGAAGATAATTGTGATGTTATAAATGATTTAATTTTAATATTTGATGATTAAATTGTCATTTAAGAGTATAAATTGTTTCCTAAAATAGAAATGGGAACCTTTATATGGGACGTCCAAAAAAGAAAAGTGAGAACATAGTTACAAAAATCGCTACCCTACCCGCGTTTTGTGTTCCGGATCATGCGTTCCGGACCGCTGTTTGGACCGCTGTATAGTTGTGTGCCGGTCACTTGTAGTTGTGTGCCGGTCACTTCTGGGTCGTGACTCTGGTACGGCAGTTTCCGGTCGCAGTTCGCACTTAAACCCCTGGCGGTACGCCGTATCCAGTTCGCCGTTTGCACGTTTCCTCCAGCAGACGAGAACCCAACAGTGCAAGAGTCAGGACTTCATTTTTCCAAGCGACACAGGGTTCAGTGACCGAGTACTTCTAAACAACGCTCCAGAGTCTTTGTACTTCTAAACGGCCTTCCTGACTCAAATGACATTTTATTTGTTTCTTCATTTAACGTACCCAGCACCTCAGCAGTCAGCACCTCGGAAACAAACTTTGTTAAGTTTGTTTACTGTTTTACTGAAGTTGATTGTTTAGTACAGTATTTATTATATTTATACTTAGTAAACTGTACATGTTTATGGTACACCGTACTATAGTAAATGGTACCGCGTACCGAAGAAGCCTACCCCTTCACCTAGCGTATCGGATTTCTAATATTAGCGATCCGCGTTCCCGCTTTTGTACCAAGTACCAGAGCGTACCGCAATCCATGCAACTATGAGTGAGAACCTTAGAATGGGACAGCGGGAGTAACTTATGTATTTTTTTCTGAAACAACATCGAAGCCTACATTTATTTTTAAGAACTAACAGTACATTCATTTTATATTTATTTTTTTAATAAATAAAAATAAAAGTGAAAAGATTATGATATGACATGTAAATATACCCTACAAGAAATTAACACAATTTCAAGAGTCGAAGGCAACCTGACTGACAAATCGATTTGCCTGAATAGATGAGCAGTTTTTTTCTTCCTCCTGAAGGAATAAACTTTCTCCTCACATTTTTCAAGAATCTCATTGAGATCAACTCCCAGATTTTCAAACTGCGACTGGTCAATAAATAGTATCACATGGATTTGATATAGTTGAAAAAAAGAATCCAAAAATTTGCAAATAATAATCAAATAATAGCACTAAACCTTGTTCAGATGAATGTGGCCAACAAGGCTAACACCTCCACCTAAAATCTCATATCCAGTCTGTGGTGTTGCATATCTGTAAGAGTGAGGCACCAATATTTTCTTTTAAGTTGTTAAGAATGTGGATAAATTGACTCTTTTCAGGAGACTTACATTCATACACCATACAGTAAAGAAAATACAGCATTACAAGGACTCAAGGAGAATGACATGCAAAGGCAAAACCAATTTAACACATTATTGATTATTCTAAGACCACTTAAGGAACCAGGCAACCAGAAACAAACATAAACATATGCGACACCAGATTAGGCAAAAAAAACTCAAAAGAAAATGAGTTAGAGGCATACTCAATCAAGAACTCATCAGCAGTGTCCTTCAAACAGACTTTTCTCAAATGATTGCTCAACACATAGGCAGCTTTTTCTCGGCAATATATCCTTCCGCATCCACAGTCATTTAGATAGAGTATTACACGGCGGTCAGATACAGCATTCTTGAAACTGACTCCACAAAGCAGGATTTCCTGAGTCAGAAAGAAATTGTACATATGACCGAATATAACAGCAAGTTAAGATGCGTGTACTCAAAGCAGTACATGTCCTTAGAGGTTGAGAGAATACCTTCATCATTTCCCACGAAGAATTACTGCTTGGAGATGAATCCAGCACAGCCTTGTATGCAGGATTTGACATAGCAGTTGCAGCCAATACTCCAACAGGATCACCAGCACCAAACTCACTCTGAAACTTACCTCCATTGTCAACCCCATACTCGAATTGAATAATGGAATTGCTGCATACATTTCGCACAGTCCCGTCATAACAAATGACAACATCTCGGAGGATCGCCATCAGATTCTTGAACAACGTTCCAGGTTCAGTCAAACCTCTTGTTGATCTTACTATGACTTCCCTGCTGGATATCGAGTGAACCATCTCTTGATAAGGATCCAAACCACTAAAGAGGCCATTACTAATCATACCAAATTCCTCTGAAGGGTGATGCCCAGCAGATGGATACTTGTTTCGGAACAGCAGAGCCACATCATTCACAAGCGTCTTGGAATAGAACTTCCCCTTGTCTGCCATTTGCAACCCTAAAAACCCAACCTGTTGTACTACCTTATTAAGAGCAGACTCGCTCTTTGGGTCAATTAAATGACCTATTGCAGATGAATGTAGAGCAAAATCAGTGACTGGGGTTTTTTCGACTTTCAGGAAACGGTCCAATTGTTGCTCCACAGATGCATTGAAGGTTGCGCGCAAGCTATGCAGCAACTGCGAGACGCCCTGAATATTTGTTTGGATCTTTTCTCTAGCAGCTTTGGAAATGAAAAAGTCTCCAAGACTGATACTAAAGCCTTCTGTGTACAGATATTCCATTAACAAAGGTTGCAGCGCATTAAAAAATAGGATAACCTCTTTGGGACCCTTTCCAAAATAAATTGAAGAAACAATGTCATTGAGGATTGATGACAATGTATCCCTGCCATAGTCAATTTTTACAAACTCGCTTTTGTTAACAGTGTATCTATCCCCCAAACAATCAAAAGACCTAGGCAAAGCCATTCCCAGAATCTGCAAGATTGTCCAATGTGGGGCAGAACGATGGGACTTCACAAGCGCAGGCAGTGGCAAGCTGCTTGGGAGAAACATGGCTAACTGCTGGGCACAAATTTTATTTACAAAGTACTTCTCAAACATTAACTTGCAAGCCAATAACGAGTCACTTCCCATCTGCAAATTAAAATTACCTGTATGTGAGCTTAACAGCTGTTTCTCAACAGAGAAAAGCTCCAAAACCTCTGCTTTAGCAGAGAGAGACTGGGGATAGAAGAGGTGGATACAATCTCCATCGAAGTCTGCACTTAGTGGCCCACAAATCAGTGGATTGATCTTAACTGTGTGATCATCATGTACATAGACTGACAAAGCTTGCAAGGAGTGCTTATGTGTAGTTGGAGGCCTGTTGATAAACACAATATCACCATCCATAATTCTTCTATGAACGAGTTGTCCTGGTTTCAAAAAGGTGTGGCCTTTGGATCCTTCCCTTAACGAATATGTCGATGCTCCATCCCTGTAGGTCAAGCAAAGGTTTTCATCAACCAGCTTCTGCAGGAATGCCACATTGTGCAAACTTACCCTTTCTTCAAAGGTGATACGTTGGGCAATCTCAAATGGTAATCCTATTTCATTTACTCCCTTATACGGATCACCTGTAATCACACTGCGAGAGGAGAAACCAGACCCCTTTCTTATAAATAAAGTTTTCATCTTCTCAAGCCAAGCCTTGGTAGTTGATTCATTTGATTCCTTGCCAACTCCAAAACGCTTATCCACATCACGAGAGGCCTATCAGCATAAATTATGAAGAAAATATAATCAGAACAGCTGAATAAATAGTGACGGAAGATATATATATATATATATATATATATATATATATATATATATATATATATATATATATATATATATATATATACTCCCTCCGTCCCGTAATTAAGTTCCTACTTTCCTTTTTGGGATGGTCCATATTAAAGTTCCTACTTCAAACCTTTCCTTATTTGGCAAATGATTTACACTAAAACAGTGCCAAACAGTGTCAAACAGTGTTTAAACGGTGCCAAACAGTGTTCAAACAGTGTACTCTACAGTAAACTCAAATTTATTTCTTAATATGTGTGGAGTCAAACTAGGAACTTAATTAAGAACCGGAGGGAGTATATATATATATATATATATATATATATATATATGCTTAGCAATAGAACATCAAACTTAAGATACTCGACTATCAGCAGAACCTTGTGAGCTTTAACAAGCTGGCTACATACAATAAGATGCCTATTACTAAAACTATGCCCCCTAGCGAACTGGATACCACACTAGCATTGGGCAAGGGCATTTTTTATCAAATAGTCTTGCAACAACAGGCAACTATAATTACATAGGTTTATTTATTTATTACATTTTTAGGGTAGAGATGCAAAGAGAGTTCTAGTCCTGTTTGCTGTGGGTTGAGCCAATACCAGTTGCAGGCCCTTTTCATCTATTGATTCGGTTGGAGTGTAAGTGTAAGAACTATCCCGAGATGCTAGTTTGTGTCTATCTAGTTGCTTTGCAACAGCTAATAGCACTACCGCGATATCCTACTTTGCACCTATCTAGTTGCTTTACAGCAGCTAATAGCATTATCACAAACAGTAGAATGAACCAGAAAACAGCAAAGAAAGCTATCAAAGCTCCAGATGGATGAACTCCTTTATCTTGTTAGAGGGTGTTTGACCCAATGTTCTGCGGATGGATCTCCAACTCCCTTCTCTTCCCCTATTCATACCATTCTCCTTCTCCTGTACCATTCTCCTCCCGTATCATTCTCCTTCTCCAAGATGCTGAAAGCTGTGAGTACATCCTCACTTTTTTTAATCCGGATAAAATTGAATGCAATGATCTCTTAAAGTTTAAACGCTTACCAATCCTGGATATTACAGTCAGTTCCGTATAATATTCCAACCCATTTTTAAATACTTCATCTGTTCTTAAATATTTGCAACACTTTCCTTTTTGGCAGTTCTAAAATAACTGCAACACATCTATATTTGGTAATAACGAATAGTCAAATGACTATAACACCCTTTGACTCATTTAATCCAACGCATTACCCCTACTTCAAATAAAATATCTTCGCCCCCTCCCCCATATTTCTCCTCTTCACGCATCCTACGCTCTTCATTTCTCGCCCACCTCTCTATCCTTCTTTGTTTCTTTTTTCAGTTCTCCCCCATTCTTTGGCATGGCCATAAATTTATCTTTCACCTTCACTATAGATCTTTAATTTATTTCCCCCACCACACTCTTTTCTTCTCACCACTTTTCCTTCTTTGGAGATCCAACTTGTTACTCTGGCTATTGTGTTGGTTGGGTCTTGTAGAAGAAGCTCCCACTTTTATGAGTTGATATACTAAGAAATAGATTTGAATCCATAAAGAAGAATTAGGAAGAGCGAGTTCTGTAAAAAATAGTAGTGTGAATAACTTTTGGGAGATTACATAATCCTGATTTTGGGGTTAAAGAAATCAACAGAATCAAAAGTAAAACCATTTGATTAACTATACTGCGAATCTTGATGTAATTATTGGGGGATTTTATAAAGATAAATGTAAAGATAAGCAAGGGACTGAAAAGCATCAATGGTGACCAAGCTAAAATTAGGAGAAGAAATACGGAGTACTTCGTATAAAGTTTTGTTGTCAGGTGTCTGTCAGAACAAGGACAAAATAGGAAGAAAAAGACTATCTGATTTTCTTAATTTGTGCACCCAGCTCTTGGTTGCATCTATTTCTGTACAGAGGAAGTACATCTTAACCGATTCAAATAGGGATCCACTAGCAACATTTTGTCTCTTTTGAGCTTTTAAAAGTGTCAGAAGAGAATTAATAAAGAGTTGCATTCATCATCTTAACAAAAACCTGTTAAAGTGTGCAAATGCAACCAGAAAGTGTGCTGGGTCACATATATGTACTCTTCAGGAAGAGTGAGGTATACACTCCATTCATCCTAAGCCTAGGAAGCTCTTCATGATCCAATAATCCCTTGAAATGTAACATGCATGTGCCATTCTCTTAATTAAACATGATAGAAAAAGGTCACTGAAGGTCAGCTAAGAACCAAAACAAGTTTTGTTCTTTTTCAATGAGTTGGATGAGTAGAGAAAAAGAAATAAATCTCAAGGAAATGCAAGATTCACAGTCATACTCTGACGACACCAATGTAAAGGGTGAATACCCATCTTGAACTACAAGTACCATCACTATCATGGTACTCAGACTTGATATTCAAGAGGCAAGAGAGCAAATTCTTAGCAGCATACCTTCCCAGTACCCCGGAACTGAAGATACTGAGCAACTGCTACTTGTAAATCATTGGATTCCACTTCCTGAGACTCAAAATTTGGTGTTCCAGACCTTGAGCTTTTAATATTCTCTATTTGTTTGAGCACTTTTCTGAGCATTGTTATTGAGTGATCCTAATTAAAAACATGGAACCACTATTAAGAGAAGAAAATTAGTAACAACATTCCCGATCACAAAAGGACTTGAAAATATCTTACTGAAGACATGATGTTCATCCCATCAGATATGTCCGGAACAGACAAACAATTAGGCGGGACAGGCAAGAATTGAAGGATATAGCCTTCTTGTGGAGAATATCCCTTCGCACAAAGTTTTCTCCTTGTGTCTTCAGATATTTTTTTCAAAATTGCCGCTACCTACAAAGAAAAAATAAAATTCAGCAAGTACAACTAGATCAAAAGGCATCAGTAAAATTAAGGATGGCTGCCTCATTGTATGTGTTCATCAACATTATTAGATCATTTTATACAAATCGCTATTTCACAAAGCAACTAAATGACATAAAAAACAGCATTCTTAGAATCATTCGGGCCAGGTTTACATTTACAAAAATTCAAAAAAAAAAAACTCGGAGGATCACCTAAGCAGCTTCAATTAGTATGATATCAAAAATTGAACTAAGATACATAAAAAATCGGCTAAGATGCCAAGTGGATTCTATTGTATTCTAAAGAATAAAGTATGAATAGATATATCCATCTACTTTAATTTTAAGTTGTTCTTTCTGTATTCAATGACTGTTACCTTGTATACCTGTGCGGCAAATGATGAAGGGGCTAACTGCCAAGGGTATGGATACTTGGTGCAAGAAGTAAAAAACAAATGCAGCATAAAATATCAACAAATAGGCACCAGCAACCAGAAAAAAGGGATCCGTAAGCTAAAAAGGTTAATGTAGATGCTTCAAATTTTTCAACACGCTTTTTATTTTTCTAAAGTGATTAGAGATGTCAGCATTCTTGTTTACTCCTTTCCGTTTTAACAAGAAAAAAAAAAACTTTTGTTCACTCAAGTGTTCTACAACCCAGAAAAATGTGGAGGATTATAGCACTTGTATATTCATGCATGAGAATGGGACCTTAGCGCACCAGTTACAATGTTGTTGTGTGACCGAGAGATCATGGGTTCAAAGTCTTGGGAGCAGCCTCTTGTCATAAATAACTAGGGAAGGCTTGCCCCTTATACACCCTTGTGGTGGAACCCTACCCCGGGCTGCCCCTTTTCATATTCATGCATGAGAAAGAAAACCATATTGTATGTACAACCATAAATAGCTTGTCATAAATAACTAGGGAAGGCTTGCCCCTTATACACCCTTGTGGTGGAACCCTACCCCGGGCTGCCCCTTTTCATAATCATGCATGAGAAAGAAAACCATATTGTATGTACTACCATAAGTAGCTTGTTATCCATTGTACAAACAATTAACAACACAAGAATTCACATGGCCAAAACCAAGGTCAGATCACAAGTGTTTGAGAAAACAAACCTCAGAAGGAAGCAATCTACGGGAATAGCCATAACCATATTTAAATCCATACTTCTCCAAGAAGTTCCAAAAGTCATCACTCAGTGTTGCAGTCTTTGGTACTTTCAACTCCAAATAACAAGCACCATCTGAATTTTTAACTTCATTTACTGATACTTGTGAAACTTCCTGCAGCACACAAATCATTATGCTTAGAGTAAATTTTTCTAATCAATCTCCATTTTTACATCACCCAAAAGTATTTGCAGAAGAAGAAAAAACTCGAAAATCCTTTATCGTTGAATTTTCAAAAATCAATGAGAAAGAAAGAAATGAAAATTTTAGAGCATTGAAGCCTGGAAGAGGATGGAACGAAAGTTAAGAATAAAAACAAACAAACAAACAAACAAACAAACACACAAAGAAACTTGAAGTGGGAAATGCTAAAGTGGGATGCCAATCAAGCACAATACGACAAATCCCTAAATCTGAAATCCTAAGTCCAAAATAACTCCACTTACAACTGTTACAAGTTAGTCAGTTCTTTAACATATTTCACATGTTTCCTGGAAAGGGAAACAATAAAGTCTACTAAATTCACTATAATGCCAGGTACTCCAACTTCCATGGTACACACCAAAACAGATAATCTTTGCATCCTCTACTTGGTATTTCTGAGACATCTTTAATCCCCCTCTACCACCCAAAAAAGAGCACATATGAAAACAAATGAAATTAATTACATAGGTATGAATGTATAAATTATAGATAAGAGAAAAGTATAAGAGTGCTGGATAATAACATTTTCAGAATAATAGGGGGAGTGGAAAACTTACCTCACAGCACAAGGACATCATCCTTTCAAGAACACCAATGTGCTTGACCTGGAACTAAAAGCATGCAAAATACGACCGGGCATCAGTTACAAGGATCTACAAATAAATGGCATAGATATTACTTCTAGAGTTTCTCCAGAGTCCAGACAAAAAATGATTCTAGCAATCTAGCTTAGTTTTTGTACAAAATCATAGTAAATAATCACAATAGCCCTTATATACTGTAATACATGCATACACACACAGATAAACACTTTCATCCATAACTCTAATCTCATTGATTCTTCCCCTCCCTTTTCTGCACTCCCACCTTGCCCAGTCGCCCCCTCCACACCACCACCATATTGCCTATGTAGCTCGATACTCCTCCATCAACCCCAAAACTTTCCATCTGCCACCACACGCCACCCATCGGCCCACCGCCCACATCATCATCATCATCATCATCATTGACATCATCATCTGAGCCCAGCTTCTTCTTTCGGTGATTCTTTGGAACTGTATACCTATTAGATGATAAAGGCTTCTTAATATTTCACTTGGTTGATAAATTCCCCACATCCTTCGAACCAGGCTGATTACCCCAATCTCAACCCTGTTATCTACCAAAGTGTCTCCATTTGCAATCAATAAGAAGCAGAGGATGAATTACCATTTTTAATGCCAAATATAGCCTCCTTGTTATCCCCATCTGCCTATGTTAAGATTGGGGATTTTAGGAGTGCCTAATTCCGTAAACCCACCGAACCAAACCGATACCAAAATTTCAATACGTACCAAATACTGAACTAAATTTGGTTAAGTAATCAATACATATTTTCTGGAAATCCATACTCGGTTTGGTACACAATTTCAGTTTCCATACTTTGATTTTTATTGAATACCAAAACATTGATTTATATTTAAAAAATATATAATTACTTTTATTACATACATGTGTTACCTATCCCATATCCCATATATATCAAGACCAAACATACATCCCACTTTTAGAATCTCAGTACTTTCACTCAAACTGTCCAACTCTCTCGTTCTGACTCTCAAAAGTCAAAACACATACTCTTTCTGTCCCATATAAAGGTTCCCACTTTCCTTTTTTGGGCATCCCACATAAAGGTTCGCTTTTCTATTTTAGGAAACAATTACCACTCTTGTATGAAAATTTAATCATTAAATATTAAAAATAATACATTTATGACATCACAGTTATCACTACTAACCCCATTATATTAAATATCTATCAAAATTGTTTCTCAAAATATACTTGAAGTATCTTATTAATTATTGTCTAAATAAGTGTGTCGTTTGTCCATGGGAACCTTTAAACGGGACAGAGGTAGTACATATTTGTATGGTCATCTATTCATCACTCTTCTTTCGTGTGAATGCCCTACTCTTCTTTCGTGGTTATGCTCTGCTTTACATCTAATATTCTGTTTTTATAAGAAAGTGCATGTTTATATTCGTTTTATAATATGAATTATTGATGTGAAAATTGTTATGGTCCATTATTAGAAATCCTAATTGTTTGGTTTATTATTACTACTATTTTAATTTAGCATCTGAGGCGTTTTTACTTCAGGTTTTCTATTAGAAAACGAACATAATGAGACAATATATGATTTTATTGGACTTCAATTACCATAAACTTTTTCTTTTTACCTCCAATTTCATATGTTGACTCATGTTAGCCGACCCGAAATTCTTTTCGGACCAAGGCTTGAATGTTATTGATGTACATGAATGCTACGGAAAAAAAGATGATTTTTGAACCGAAAATATAACCGAGTTGTTTTCAGTAATTACCATTTACCAAACCAATCTACTTTCATTTGGTATTAGGTACAAAAAATAACTCAAATTTTGATTCAGTTTGGTTTTACTGAATGAAAACCCCTAGAGGGTTTGGTGTCAATGTACCCTTGGGCGTCAAAAATAGGTTGCACCGTTGCACAGTAGCAGTGACAGCTAGGAGGATGAAGTAAGAAGTGGGTGGGTGTCACTGTGGGGCTGCAGTGTCACTGTTGGAATTATGGGTTGCTTTCACAGATTTAAGCAGCATCAAGTGACAGGATTCAGGGTCTATGAGACTTATTTTTTGCAGAGACAGTGGTATGGTTTGGTGGAGGTGGTTCTCTTACAGCATTGACGGTGAGCGGTGGCTCAATTTTGTTGGCTGCCAACATTGGTCACCTAAGCTTGAGAGTAGCTTGTTTTTAGTAATTCACTAATGTGATTATTAACTTTAATATATAAATATAAGGGAATACTTGACATACTTACTAATGTTTTGGAATAATTATAACTAGTAATATTCAAGTAAGAAAAACCAAGATCTAACCACATCGCAGCAAATGAAAATTCCTGTCACACCCATGCTGAAGTTTACAAATGCTAAAGTATGAACATCAACGGTTTTTAGCGTCTCATATTGGATAGATAATCAATGCAATTCGTGGCTTATACACATATACTGGTACATGGATATAGGTGCAAACAAAACATGCTGATTATTAAGAGGTGGAGTCAACTGTAAACCAGACACCACTAAATTCATACTACGGTAACATGTATGTGATGCATATGCATAGACTTCAGAGTAAGTAGTCCAAACTGACTCTTGTAATCACAATGGGTCAAATGACACTCGTAAACATTTGGTTGGAGGAAAGGAATACATAGAGATGGGAATTAGAATCTGATAGGAGCATAGATGATAATACTAATAAGAATACTAGAATAGTAGATACTAATAAGTGGGCCTGTTATAATATGCCTATTGTTGTAGATATTAATAAATGGTCTTATACTATAAATAGTAATGGGAGGGTAGGAAATAGGCAGGCTGTTTAGACATTTTTCAGACTGGGACTTGGGAGATCGAGAGTTACTCTCTTTCTTGGGGGCTTCGGCTCATATTGGGGGCTTCGGCCATTGATTTCTTACTCTCCTTCTGTAATCGATTCTTCCTCATCAATAAAAACTCTTAGTTGTTCTTGATAGATTCTGTGATTTTACTGTTTACCTGGACAGTTTCCTATCAATTGGTATCAGAGCATCTTTTCTGGTGACCTGAACTCTAGTTGGAAATTACCAGAAGTTTTTTTTTTCAGAGCATCGATCATTGTAGACTATCGCTAGACGTGCAAGGATGGAAGGAAGACTTTATGAGATGGAAAGGAGACAACGACAAATAGCTGCAAACATGGCGGCTATACAGGAGAGCATCGCAAACCTGGGAAAGAAAATCCAGAGTCGATCGAAGAAAGACCGTTCGAATCGATCGCACACTTCTCCGAGGTCGCATAGCGACTCTCATCATCGATCTTCAGAGGCGGACATCGCAAGGCGGGAGAATAAGATCCAGAGTCGTTCGCGACCTACATCGCACAGGTCGCACCATACGAATCTTTCTTCGCATCACTCGTATCATCCATCGTCACATCAAAGTTCGCAGATTCCCTCAACGAACATCAGTTCGCATTCTTCTTCTAAATTGGCTTCTGGGAAGTCAGCTATTTCAAAGAAGGAATTACCTCTGTTCTACGAGGAAGAAGCATATGAATGGATAGAGAAGATGGAGAGATATTTCCAAACCTACACTATTGCAGAAAGATTTAAAGTGGACATGGCAGCAAAGGCAATGGGGGAAGCCGCAGATGGATGGTTTCAATGGTGGGATTTTCAGAAGGGAGAAGACAGTTGGGAAGCTCTAAAGGGAGATTTGATGAAGGAATTTCCACCTAAACAACGTAAGAAGACAGGAAGGACAGAAAAGAAAGAATCCTCGAGGGCACGAAGAACTTCTTCATTCAGTTCGCAGGAATCATTGTTAAGCAGGCAGCGAAAACAGGAGTCATATAGGTCGCTAAGAACTTCTTGTTCACAAGTTTCTCCCCTTGCGCTAGATTCACCCTGTGCTAGATTCTCATCAGGAAAGGGACTGCAGGGAATTCAACTAACCGCAATGAACACAGAATTTAAAACGGTTGCATCTTCAGTCCTGGAGCCAGAGCAAGAAGAGGATACATTGCAAACTACTGGAGCTCTACCTGATAGTCCGGAAGATCCTTGGAAACCAAAGATGTACAACAATGATGACAGTCCTGGCTTATGGATGCCTAAGCCAGTTTTATTTCCAGGCTTGCTTCTCTTGTCTGGCATCCATTCTGATAACAAAGAAGTACTTGCAAAAGAAAAATTGCTTGAGACCAAGATTGATGATGAGGTAATAAGAGATTGTGATGGTTTGGTGACAAAATCAGCAAATGCCTCTGTTGCTGAGTGTGTGGTGCTGCAAGTTAACTGTTGGTATCCATTTCATGCATCAAACCTGACTTTGGTGGGGCTGAATAAGACTGATGGTTTCAAATTTGACAGTGATATTTGTATGAAGAATATTCAAAATGGAATAGGGATTATACTTGCTGGGAATGATGGTTTGTTTCTGAAAAATCTGGAAGCAACAATATCAAAGCAGTTAACTGTTACAGACAGAAAAGAACATCAAAAGGAGCTATTTGTTGCTATTGAAGGTTTAAAGGCAACTGAAGAAAATAAAACTTCTCCATATATAACTTCTGCAAAAGAAACATCCTTCGTTTTAAAGTTGCAAGCATTGAAGCACATGGTCAAATCAACAGGGAAATACTGGGAAGGAAGAGGCGCGAGAAAGAAGTTGAATGGCATGGCTGGTTCTTACTCCCCACCTTGAGGACAAGGTGGTTGTTCAGGGGGGGAGTATTGATAGGAGCATAGATGATAATACTAATAAGAATACTAGAATAGTAGATACTAATAAGTGGGCCTGTTATAATATGCCTATTGTTGTAGATATTAATAAATGGTCTTATACTATAAATAGTAATGGGAGGGTAGGAAATAGGCAGGCTGTTTAGACATTTTTCAGACTGGGACTTGGGAGATCGAGAGTTACTCTCTTTCTTGGGGGCTTCGGCTCATATTGGGGGCTTCGGCCATTGATTTCTTACTCTCCTTCTGTAATCGATTCTTCCTCATCAATAAAAACTCTTAGTTGTTCTTGATAGATTCTGTGATTTTACTGTTTACCTGGACAGTTTCCTATCAGAATCTCTGTGGAAAGAAGTATATGGAGAACCAAAGAGGAATTCAAATTCTACATTTTGGTTGGTGGGAATAAAATTAGTGAGAATATTTGTTTATTTATTTAGTTTGCACTGGAGTTGCAAGGGAAATAGAGTAATAGACGATGAAGAATATAATAACCATATTGACTAAGCATACTCCAAACAAAATAAAATAAATATAAACTATACTACCTCCGCCCCTTAAAACTTAGTCATCGTTTACTTTCTTGGTCGATGGTGTTAAGTGTTAACTTTGACCAATAGTATATTTGTATAAAAGTATTTATAATATGAAAATGGTATAAAAATATTTTTCATTAAAATACTCCCACAAAAGTATAAACTTATAACTTTCACACAATTTTATTAACAAACATCGCTGGCCAAAGTTTACCATCATTGACCAAGAAAATCAAAGATGGCAAAGTTTTAAGGGACAGAAGGAGTAACAAATTATTGCTCTAATGTTCCTATTTTATTTGTACTGTTCATCTTCTAATAAAAAATGCATTATGTTCTAATTTATTATATGGATGTCATAGCACTTCCTGTGTACCTGTCTAGGTTTAGATGTGTTAATTTAATATATGATACTAAATTAAATGTGGATAAATTGAATTGTACTTGACACAGAGTTTAATCCAAACTGTCCACTATAAATTGGGATGGGGGAAGAGGGAGTGTAAATGTTATAATAAGATAATATTTTTTTAAGATAATATAATGAAATAGAACAATAAATAAATTACAACATTTGTGTGTGTATAGTTCTCTGTGTGTGTGATTATTTATTACGGAGTATTATCAATATAATGAAATACATCAAAACAAACCTTCAATAGACTATAGTCAGCAATTATTCCTTTTGAAACTTGCAGGACAATTTTCTGAGCCCATATCCATAATAATTCCTAATTAGTATGGCAAAGAAAGTACTGTGGTTGGGGGGAGATTACCAACCTTTGAGGCAAAAAGTTAAGGGAAATCCTACCCAACATTGCCAACAATGGAGTTTCTACTACTATATAATACATCTGAAAAGGAAAATGTGATTATGTTTACCTAGTGGGACGTGAAATGTCAATAACAGTATTTCACAGTTATTGGGTTCCATCGTAATTGGAAGGTGGATGAAACATAGAGATGGTTAAAAAGAACATATTTTTGAGTTCACAGAACGCTTAAGTTTAATAAATAGCATATAATATACTATGCATGGTCTTGGCAGAGGAAACAACTTGCACGCAAGAGACCAAGATATAAAGAGAGTTTTGTAGTGGTAATACCTTCCGGTTCCTTAATTTGAGACACTTTAAGCACAATAAGCTTAGCATCCTCTTTAACTCACTAACATGATCAGGGTGATATATAGGTGTAGGCAATTCAATGTAGCCAAAATGCCCTGAAATGTCAATTTAAAGAATGAAATCATATTGGTTAACACTTAACATATCGTGATTTCATGACAAGTAATACATGAAGAAGAGCGTGAAACAAAACTCCTCCTTACCTTCACATTGCCCTGGCTCACCAGTACCACAAGATTCACATTTCCCAGCTTCAAGTGGAAGGCCAAGAAAGGGGTTTAGAAGCTGGCTGGGATGATTTATAGGGCAATCACTAATAGAGGCTTTCACCTGCATCAGGATTATTATATTGAATTACTTATCAAATAAGAAACGGACTTGATTTTGTTACTCCATCCGTCCCAATTTGAGTTGCATTTTTACTATTCATTGGTCAACGCAAATCCTTTTTATACTGTGATTTTGAGTATCAATTTTTTATTATATCCAACTTCATTTTGTTCTCTCCAGATGAACTTTTAGTACGGTTTATAAATACATAAGTTTTAATTAATAACAATTGTTTGAATATTATTAGGAGAGAATTAACTTTATCATCAAAAAACAATAAAACTCACACATTGCTACACACTTGGGGATGGAGGGACTATAAGAAAACTTGTAAATGTGATAGAATAATGCTATAAGCAGGTATAATGCTCACAATTTCAAGGCGGGTAGCTAAACCAAATTTGATGCCCTTTATTGTCCCATCCATTACATTGAATGATGCGCCTTCTTCCATTTCTATCCACCAAGGCTGAAAATATATATCGCAACAAAAGAAGGGTAATGAATAATTTAGGACATGTTTTTATGTGCAAAGTGAAAATAAAACACAACAAAGGATGAACTGTGTACAGATCAGCAAAACTGTCAATGCAGAAGCAATATAATAAATATTCATAGGTGATTGGTGGTTGTTGTTTTTGAGCTCTAATAAACTAATTAAACCCTTTGTTGTGTTTTATTTTCACTTTGCACATAAAAACATGTGCTAAATTATTCAATGTGAACGCCTTTTAAAAGAAAACAGAAATGTGGTGTCTCTAAAACTTCAAATATCAGTAATGTTTGAGTTCTTTCCTCTCTGGAAAGGATCCCCTGACCCAATTAAAATTTTCAGCTGCAACTTTGCAGATTAAAAACTCAGAATTTTCACCGAACATGGGCTCAAAAAAACAAATACATTGACAGTTCTAGTAAAGATCAATCCCATGAAATGGCAGGAAAGATGCGTTTGTCTATGTATGGAGATAGCAGCGATCATTGTCTCTTTGGCACAGAACTACACACTAAACAAATAAACAATCATATGGCATTGACCAAAAACCAAAATGGTATAAGCAACACAAAAAGTTTCAGAGCAAAATCCACATGCAGATCAACAGACCCCCAGAGTTGAAGCACACAATACCTACGTCAAAAACCCTAGCTCCCATTTCAAGAAAAAAACAAATAACACAAACCGACCCACACCAAAAGCAAAAAACGCTACTGCAAAAGAACCGGAAAAAAATCCAAGGGGAGGAATATGATCTCAAGGGGCATAAACAAAACTCTGAAAAAATACATATGAATGGTCGAAAAAGGAAACATTGAAGAAATGCATACGATTCAGGACTGTGTGGAAAGGTGAGAAGGCGGTATAGAACGAGAATGGTCAAACCGCAGCTCAAATGAAGCTCAGCAGAGTGGAAATTCCTCAGAGCATTTTGCGGAGCGAGTCAAGACTGAGTAGGAGAGAGTGAGAGATTTATCTCATAAATTTTGTTTTCCCCATTTTGCTCTGCCGCTGTGTTGAGGGCTGCCATTTGTACGTCTATTTTTTCCCCACTTTGGGGGGAATCTTTTTCTTCACTGTATAAAATGACTAGTTAGGCCCCTTGTGGGGTGAATAGCTGAAATTTCAGTGAGGTTAAAACCGAGAGAAAGTTTGCACTTACCAATGGGCAGGAGTAGGGCGAAGGGACCAAAGTCGTGAGAATGGCGATATAAAGTAAATGACGATTTTGGATGCAAAAACTGCGTAGCCTACTGCCATTTTCATATCTTTCAAGGACATGAAAGGAAACATCCACTTTCATGGAGAAATAGTGTGGGGCTGTGCACATGGAGAAAAAATAAGACTTTATGAAAAATAGTCATTCCGGTGTTTCCAATACATTTACGTTCGTTTGGAAACACCGAAATCGGTTGAATCGGTTGATTCTGTTGAAATTTATGAAATTTTAGTTTAAATAGCTGGATTAATTGATTATGCAGATTTATGAAAAATTATATTTAAAATATATTTTATTAATTAAATAAAGAAAAAATAATTTTGGAAATAGCTAAAATAGTCATTTACGGTAACTTCAGCCTGATGGATAGTCTACCCGGGGGGTATCTTATCCGAGGGGTTATTGCGGGAATAACTTAGAGAGAAGTCAGAGCAAATAGGAGGAGAGAGAGTCGATTTATTAAATGAACTCGAGATGTGGAGTTGGGATGTGGATGTCCGTTTACAAGGAGAAATGGGCTGCTATTTATAGCAGCAATAAATGCGATGAGAGTACACGTGCCAATAATCCAACGGCTGAGGGGTCACATCAGTCGGGTGGCACCAGCAGTGGTACGTTCACCGCATTGAATGCGGTTGGCGGATGTGACGTGGCATTAAATGCGATGGTTAGTTGTCTCCAAAAGGAATCTTCGATGATTGAGCGTGTTTGGCCGAAGGCTCCTTGTGTAGCCGAGGGCTCCACGTGACCAAGGACCCCTGCGTAGCCGAAGGCCTTGTGTGACCGAAGCCTTGGTTCAGCCGAAGGCTTCCCTGATGCTGAGGGCTTGATAGTACCGAAGGCTCATGTGTTTCGTCGTTTTCTCTCAGTAGCTTCGTACGCCAGAGAAAGCTATCATGTGAGTTTCGGAGCCTTCGGCCAAGGAGGCCTAAGGCACCTCAGTGTGTACTCCGGGCTACTTTGAGGCTTGGGCCGTTGTATTTGGGCCTGAGTTATTTCCTGAGCTCCATGGACTTGTGTAGGAGAAGTAGGAGTCTATGGGCCGGGGGTTCCTGGGCCATATACTCCATCAGGAGTCCCTCACTCCTTTTGCCGAAAGGTACTTGAGGGAAAAGGAGTAGATATGTTGATTCTTCTGGAGGCTTCATCATTTAGTTGGGTGCCTTTGTTTGAGAACTTGCCTTCTGCTGATTGCCGAAGGCTTCCCTCAGTCCCTCACATGTCGAGGGTTTTCTGAGGGAAGTATAAATGTATTGCCCGTATGTGTTGTTATGAGGGCTGCTTTATTTCCGCAAGTGACTTGGGAAAAATACTGATACTCTGCCTCTGCCGAAGGGGTTCCACTTTGATGTTTGTCCGGAGGCTGCACGCGTCAATTGTAAATTGTTGTATGAAGAAATTTTTTGTTCTGTATGATTCCCGAGGGATATACCCCAGTCCCCCACTCCTTTAGGCCGAAGGCAAGTTCGGGCTGAAGGAGTTATGATGTGTTGATGCAAACCCGAGGGGCGACAATATTGACAAGCCGGGGGCTTACGCTGCCGCAAGCTCGAAGGCGTTTGGTGGAATCCGTTGTCCGAAGGCTGCGGAGAGTCATAGCCGGAGGCTATCATCCGAGGGCCACCTAATGTTCGGGGAATATTGCCGTTGCAATAGAGCCGTTGGAAGAGGCTTCCACGTGTCGCTTTGTCGTTGGATGATGGGGGGCGGGTGCCACCCATAGGCTGAGGCGGCGGCCCGTAATGATGGGCTTTTCAAATCGAGGCCCAGTTCTCGAGGCCCAAATGCCTATAAATACTCTGAGCCTGAGTTCATTTGTGCTTGCGCGATTTTGAGAGATAGCGAAGCTCTGGCAATTCGATTCTAGAGAGAGAAAGTTTCCTTCGATCAACCCAAGCTTTCTGAGGTCAGTTCCTCTTCTGTTGCTTTCTTCCTTACCGCGCTTTGCTACTCCTCGCTTTGATCCAGCGTTAGCGATTTTAGGGGCCTTCGGCTAAAAATACTTAAATAGTCTCCTCTTTTAGAACTCTCCGCCTCTCTTAGTATCAGAATGTCCTCCGGTAGCGATTCCCAAAATGTCTCAAAGGAGCCCTCCCTGGGACCCGAAAGCTACTCTGAAGTGGAGTCTTCAACCGAGCAGTCGTCGGCTGGCAATGATGCAGTCGTTGCTGAGGAGATTCAGGGGGCCCTTCGGACAGAGATGGAGGCGGAAGAATTTGAGCAGGTGGTAGAAGACGAGGAGATGGCCCTCGCGCTCCAAGTCGCCGAGGAGGAGGAGGAAAAAGAAAGGCAGCGAGTAGCTGTCGCTGTCCTGCCCCCACGTGGTACTGGGGAGGCCAGCAGCTCCCGGGTGCTGAATCCGGAGCCTCTGAGAGTGGCCCCGGGTAAGAAGAAGAGGAAGTTGAGGGCGGTCCCGAAGAAAAAGCAGGCAGCTGTTGACGCTGGGCGACCAGTTGGGATACCCGAGGGGCATTCTTATTTGAACACTGCTGCGCTTGAAGTGACAACAAAAGCCGGGGAGGCTGAGTATCTTAAGACTCAGCTTTTAGTTGGGCCGTCAGCACAAGTGGTAGAGCCGGGTCCGAATGACGTGTTACTGCATCCCCCGGAGGGTTGTTTTGCTGTGCATATCCTCTCGGTGGAGTTAGGGCTCCGGTTTCCCCTCCATCCGTTTGTCATGGCGTATCTCCGCTTCGTGAAACTTGCCCCCTGCCAGCTGACGCCAAATAGTCATTCCTATCTGTCGGGGTTCCTCTCTTTATGCCGGAGCCGAGGGGTGAAGCCAACATTAGATCAGTTCTTCTTATCTTTCAACCTCTGTCGAGGGGGGCATTCGCATGTTGGGGGCTTTGCCAACCTCGAACAGGTTCCGGGGTGGAGATTATTCTCGGAGGTTCCTTCCTCCCACAAGAATTGGAAGGATCGCTTCTGCTTTATAAGGATGGCGGAGAATCCTTTCCCTGTTCCCCTTCGGGACCACTTTCGGAGGCACCCGAAGGTGGGAAATGCAGCCCTTGATAAAGAAGGAAAGAAGTTGACAGCTAAGCCGGAGGGATCCGATAAGGTGATGAAGATAAAGGACGCCATCCTTCCGGACGAGTTATATCGGCTTGACTTTAGGCGCTATCGCCTAATCGGAGAGAAGGATGAGAGATATCCTCCCATCGACTGGGGCTATGAAAGCGCCGGAGGTTGTTGCCGAAGGCACTTTTGCTCTTGTATTTAGCAAGTTTTTTTTTGTTATCGTAGTTCTGACACTCGTATATTATTGCAGGCCAAATTATGGACGTCAAATCCTTCGCTCATCTGAAGAAGAAGCTAACCAAGGAACCTTCGAAAAAGAAGGAGGCGGGCGTCCAAAAACCCGTCGACGAATTTTTCAAGAAGGATGGGGTCGCTCAGGTCCCGGAGGGTGAGGGACCCTCCAAGGATGCTGTTGCCGGCACCGACGCCGAAGTCTCTCGGGCTGAGGAGCTGAGGAAGAAGAGAGCTGGGAAGGGCGCGGTGCTCCCCGAAGGCAAGAAACAAAGGAAGGGGGCCACCGAGGAGAAAAACGGCCCTGTCGTCATCGTCGAGGAATACTCCTCCTCCGAAGTCCCGGGCCAAACAGCTGAGATGTCGTGGCCCCAGGAGAATGTGCAGTTCTCTATTACCAAGGGGACCGCCATCATGCACAGCACCCTCAACCCGAGGGAGTTCCTGAAGGGTGCCACGCCCCCGACTGACAAGTCGGTGCTTTCGAGGGCCAAGGACGACGCCCCCAGCGCAAAAGTTCTCCAAGCTTCTGTCACGGTAAGTCTTTTTCTTCTCCCTTTTCCCTGAGTTGTTTGGCCCTAGCATATCCTTATCTTGATAACTTAGCCCTTGTTCTGTGATGGTGTTGATTTGCAGGCTGCCCTCGGTCTCGGAGAACTGCTCCAGAGGATGGAGCGATATCAGGCGGAGAAGCGTCAAGCCGATGAGGCCCTGGCAGGGTCCCGGAGGCAGCTTCGCGAGGCCCAGGAAGCCCTTCGGCTGGAACAAGAGGCCTTTAACCAAATCCTTGAGAATAGCAAGGTGGTGAGAGGATGGCTGCTGAGGAGGCCAAGAAGGCTGCTGACAAGGCCGGGGAGGAAAAACGGGAGGCCGTCGGTCAGGCGAAGAAGGATGCCATATCTGAATTCGTCGCTGGGGGCTGGACATCCGAAGACCACAAACAGTGGGTAGCCTCGGTAATTGAGAAAAGCGTCGACGACTGGGTCGGTGTCCCCGAGGCGATGTTGCTAGCCCGGAAGGGCAAAGACTATTATGACGGTGGCGAGTTTTTTACTCAAAACCTCATATATAATAGGCTAGCCAGGCACTTCAAAGTTGAGCCGAAGGAGTTCGACCCAGCGGTCTATGGCCTGCCCCCCTGCAACCGGACGTAAGAGCTCCACTCCCCGAGGGCGTAGAGAGGTCAGACTTGGAGGATTCCGAGCTTATGCAAGAGGGCGAGGATGACGAAGAGGCTGGAGAAGACGCTGCCTCCAAGCCGAGGGGAGATGCGACCGAAGAACCCCATGTTTAGAAATTATCCCTAACAGCTTTTCGGCTCCGGCCAATTGTATTGTAAACAAACATCTGTGCTGTATTCTAACACTCTTTCTTTTTGATGAATATGATATGCCTTCGGGCTTCCGTGATATGTTCCTTTGACTTTTGGCGAATGTATGCCCTCGTTCCTTTTTTGTTTGTGTATGAATGTATGTTTCCTCTCTTTTGTCCGGTTTCCCGAAGGCCACAAGTTTGTGGACTTAGAAAGATTTTCTAAGTGTAACTCCCTGCTAGCCCCCAGGTTGTAGTGTAATAT